CAGAAAAGAACACACCTACACACATGAAAACCCACCTATACACGAAACCACTAAACACCTAACCCCTCAACACACACACATACACGCATTCTCCCATTACACATTCTCTCTCTAACACCTACATACCACCAGCCGTCTTTCCTCAGTTTGGGTCACGATCTGGCAGTCGTTTGCCATGCTCAAGGAGTGTCATAACTTGTCCATTTAACAATTACACCACAGTCCATTTGTCATCGACTTTACTTCGGACCTCTCTCACCAGCACCAGCCACCTGAGCAGTCAACACAGGACAGAGAGTCAACACATTTCTATGACTGTTACTCAGTCGTGCTAAAACGCCCTATAAAACAGGAGCATAAACCTGCTCTCTAAGAAAAGTGGGATTTTGATGTACTGTGGCGTTCATTGGAATGTCAGACCAGGGAGACAGTGTGTGCTCTGCTCTCTCTAAAATGATGTCACTATGTTCCCGTTTTTATTATCGGCTGCAGACTCCTAGGCGACTTCCTTTTTCCTTTAGTCGTTAGGCCGGGATGTGTTTTACTGCTGTCAGATGACAGGTGTTGTCACTATATTCCCACCAGGCCTCAGTCTCTGTTAACGTGGCGACAGAACGTTCCCCAATGGCAGTTTGTCACTCTTGTTCCGTCTGCAGAATTCTTCATTCCCTGACACATTCAGAGAATTTTGAGACATTCTTCACATTCCTCAAACTGTTTTGACAGTTAAGGTTATTGTTTTACAGATTCTATATCAAAAGCTGCAGGTGGAAAAAGCTTTTGAAGGCGTACAGAGAGCTTCCAGGCTTTTATACTGACACATTATTCAAGACACAGAGGTATAACCTCAGATATTACCAGGACCAAAGAAAAACCAATGATGATAAAACAGATATAACGTTCTGTATCTAAAGGTTAGGCTTTGAGTTGTACTACTGTTGTGAGCTCTTTAAGGGAGGAAGGTGCAACGTCCAACACCTAATCAAGAACCATGAGACGCATGGCATTCATGTTTACTGTACATGTAGCCAATAAGAATGAGTTATATAACCCATTATGAGCAGTATTTCATGTGTCGTTAGGCGAACTCCCTCTGCACTCCAGCCGCATTATCCCCCACTACTCACTAGACTACCTGCAGAGCTGTTCTCCTTTCTTAGGTCTCAGGATTCAGAATAGAATACTTCACTGTCTCTGGCATTGTTTTTGTCTGGGTGTATGATTGTTTTGTTCTGTTTTGTCTGGACCCCAGGAAGAGTAGCTCTGGATAAAGTAACAGCTAATGGATATCCAAATACAATTCTGTCTCTCTCGTCTCTACTTCGTTGTTTTTGTGTGGGTGTATATGATTGCTTTGTTTTGTGATTTGAGTTGACTCCAGGATCCAGAAAGAGTAGCTGTATCAAAATGAACAAATGCAATCTTTTCTCTCCAGTCTCTACTTCAGCGTACACAGCCATCCTATCAGGAGGGGAAAAAACTTAGATCAGTCTGGTGAAGCTTAATGTTATTAAAATCCTTTCTCTCTTGTCTCCTATTTAGGCGGAAATTACCTTAGATCAGTGTCTTGGGGTTATCTTTATCCAACTCCATGTAGGATATTACAATTCTTTCTCTCTCTTATCTGGCCAGGTGTGTTAGCCTGACTGGAAAGCCTGATGGAGACCCTGCTAGTTTACTTGATGGTCCTTGGCATGGCTGTAAAGGCCCACAAGGTCCAGTTGTGCCCAAAACGCTGCGTCTGCCAGATGCTCAACCCCAACCTGGCAACCCTCTGCGACAAGAAGGGCCTCCTCTTTGTCCCGCCAAACATCGACCGGCACACCGTCGAGATGCGTCTGGGCGACAACTTCGTCACGAGCATCAAACAGCGGGACTTTGCCAACATGACCAAGCTGCAGGACCTGACGTTGTCTCGGAACACCATCGGTTCCATCTCGCCTCACGCCTTTAAAGATCTGGAGAACCTCAGGGCCTTGCACTTGGACAGCAACCGTCTGACGAGGCTCACCAACGACACCTTCAGCGGGATGTCCAAACTTCACCATCTCATTCTTAACAACAACCAACTGATTCATATCCACATCGGGGCCTTTAATGATCTCACGGCTCTAGAGGAGTTAGATCTGTCCTACAACAACTTAGAAAGCACCCCCTGGGTGGCCATCCAGAGAATGACCAGCCTCCACACCCTGGGCTTGGACCACAACATGCTTAGCTACATCCCTGAGGGAACCTTCTCCGGCCTGCAGAAGCTCAAACGGCTTGACGTCACCTCCAACAAGCTCCAGAAGCTTCCGCCAGACCCCGTGTTTCAGCGGGCTGGGGTTCTGGCTACGTCAGGAAGCATGGGTCCGTCGTCATTTGCGTTGAGTTTTGGGGGGAACCCACTGAGGTGTAACTGTGAGCTACTGTGGCTGAGGAGGCTGAGGAGGGAGGATGATCTGGAGACGTGTGCGGCTCCGCAGCACCTGGCTGGGCGGTACTTCTGGACTGTGTCTGAAGAAGAGTTCCTCTGTGAGCCGCCTCTCATCACCAGACACTCCCAGGTAAGGCTGAGATGATAATAGGATCACAACACCTCATTTGTGAATAGTTTTGCAATAACCCAGTGATAACAGTGTAATAATAACTGTTTTTATCATGCTATTTGACACTGACAAAAAGTAATCATGATGTACACACTTTTTTAACACGATAATTAATTAAATATTGATAATTGTGTCATCCCTTTCCAGAATAAACGCATTTGTTGCAATAATTGTCTAACATCGATTATCATGCTATTGCTAACCACGATAACTGTTTTGATCATGATAATACAATAATTATCACGGTAACATCGTTTAACCCTACCACCATCTAACCCGCTCCAGGAGCTGCGAGCGTTGGAGGGTCAGAGGGTAGCTTTACGCTGTAAGGCCAGGGGCGACCCAGACCCCATCATCCACTGGATTGCGCCAGACGGCCGGCTCATGTCCAATTCCTCCCGGGCTGTGGTGCACAGTGACGGAACTCTGGACATCCTCATCAGCACTGTGAAGGACTCAGGTGGGTGTCATTGAAACGTCTGTTGTGGTAGACTACGTTGAGTGTTTCTGTTAGTATGCTCTGGTTTTTCAGTAGGCCCTGAGGCCAGATTTTCAGACCATTTAATCCGAATCAAAATGATCCTATGATGAACTCTGTTCTCCCATTGCATTTAGTTCACCCTTTGTTTTAAAGGAAACAGAAAAGCAAATAAATGCTGATAAAGTTGTCAATGTTAATAAAGTTTTCAAAATTGAAAAACAGTTGTCCATACGCCCATATGCCAATAATTCACAATACCGCCTTGCGATCTGGAGAGCGGCCTTTTGCATCACCCCAATGGTCCAAATGTGGAATCCGTACCCTTTCCGATATTATGGGCAGTAATGGTTTGAGAGCATTCCAAGATTTGAAAGTTATACACATTACCAGGCAAATCATTTGTTCTGTATTTACAGCAATGCTGGCCTATCGAGTCCCTTGGGAAACCCAACTACCGAACCATCCAATGATGGGATTTATAAATAAATTATCTGGGCTCTCGAAAAGGACTGATCTCTATAATATATAAACAACTTTTTGAATCTGAACAACCATTTAATTAACTGGAGCAGAATATGGAAAAATATGACCTTGGCATACTGTAATCCAAACCATAAACTTATACATTTTAAGTTTGTTTACAGATTGTATTTAACACCAAGGAAACCTTTTGATGGAATTGGCCCTAACTCCCAACTGTTCATTGTGTCCCCTAAATAAGGTAGGCACATTCCTCCATATGATGTGGGAGTGCCCTGCAGTTAAATGCTTCTGGGGTAAAGTTACAAAATTCATTTTGAATTGCATGAATGTAAATATTCAATGCTTTGCATCTATTATGTTACTTAACGATGATAGCTCCTTGAATCTCTCAATCAATCAGAGACGATTACTGCTGGCAGGCAGCACTGCCGCAAAAAAATATTTTGGCTCTTAGATGGCAATCACCTCACTCTCTCCCAATTCACAAGTGAATACAGTTACTATTAGAAGCTATAACATTAGCATTATCGACAGCGAGAATGAATGGTACTAGTCAAGGAACAATTGAGGCCTGGACAAATATACTTTACTCTGTAAAGAATAATCTTGGCTAAAGCCCAACACATACAAATAAACAATTATATATACTGTATATATATACAATACCAGTCAAAAGTTTGGACACACCTACTCATTCATGGGTTTTTCTATTTTTACTATTTTTTACATTGTAGAATAATAGTGAATATCAACACTATGAAATAACACATATGGAAAAAGTTTTAAACAAATCAAAATATACTTTATATTTGAGATTCTTCAAAGTAGCCACCCTTTGCCTTGATGACAGCCTTGCACACTCTTGGCATTCTCTCAACCAGCTTCATGAGAAAGTCACCTGGAATGCATTTCAATTAACAGGTGTGCCTTGTTAAAAGTTAATTTGTGGAATTTCTTTCCTTCTTAATGCGTTTGAGCCAATCAGTTGTGTTGTGAGAAGGTAGGGGGGGTATACAGAGGATAGCACTATTTGGTAAAAGACCAAGTCCATATTATGGAAAGAACAGCTCAAATAAGCAAAGAGAAACAACAGTCCATCATTACTTTTAGACATGAAGGTCAGTCAATACGGTTTCTTCAAGTGCAGTCGCAAAAACCATCAAGCGCTATGATGAAACTGGCTCTCATGAGGACCGCCACAGGAATGGAAGACCCAGAGTTACCTCTGCTGCAGAGGCTAAGTTCATTAGAGTCACCAGCCTCAGAAATTGCAGCCCAAATAAATGCTTCACAGAGTTCAAGTAACAGACACATCTCAACATCAACTGTTCAGAGGGGACTGTGTGAATCAGACCTTCATGGTCAAATTGCTGCAAACAAACCACAACTAAAGGACACCAATAATAAGAAGAGACTTGCTTGGGCCAAGAAACATGAGCAATGGCCATTAGACCGGTGGAAATGTGTCCTTAGTCCAAATCAGAGATTTTTGGTTTCTGGGAGTGGGGGTAGGGGTAGGGGGGTTGGATGGAGAATGTGGGGTTGGGGGAATGGGTGGGGTTGTTTTATTTTCCTGTTTACACTGAATTTATTATCACTTAAACACTGTATGTTTTTCTTACTGGGTTTATTTATTATTTTGAGTAGCAGCCTATAGGTACATGTTTTATAAACTTATAATTTGACATGAATAATGTACCTGTTTTTTTTGTCAAAAACTAAATATTTTGTAAAAGTTATCAATCGCTCAATCAGGCTCCTTCACCTGTGTTGCCTCCAACCCGGCCGGGGAGGCCCAACAAACTGTGGACCTGATGATCATCAAACTCCCACACATCACCAACGGTACTGTGGAGAAGGAACCGAACCCAGGTTCTTCTGATATCGCCACGGTAATGAGGACGGGTGGTGGTGGGGAAGGCGGAGGCATGGTGCCACTGGGAAACACGAAGACGAGCCAGGAGAAGAAGGTGGTGATCAGTGAGGCAACGTCTACCTCTGCCCTGGTCAGGTTCAACTTCCAGAGGAGTATACCGGGCATCCGAATGTTCCAGATCCAATACAACGGAACCTACGATGACTCTCTGGTTTACAGGTGAGCATTGGCTTATATAGGGACTGTTTTTTGATGATTGATATTGATGCCTCATTTCGACTCTCAGAACCGAATGAGAACTAACAAGAACTTGTTGAGGGGGGTTTATGTTGTTGAAAAATGTATATAAATGTCAAATGTGCAAATTCTCATTGTAATTAGTTTACTGACATTCTTATTCAGTGACTTACAAAGTAACCTAGGTACAGTGTGTTGCAGTACATATACAGTACAGGGTCATTCCAGCAATTAGGTGCCTTTTGAGTAGTGTAACTTGGTAAAAAAAAGATGTTTTATTTCATCAAGTTTTTACATTCTGTCATGTTCAACTCAATACAAAACATGTTTTCCCATCTTAAATAAAATAAAATAAATACTATAGTAAGTGCCTATTAAGTGCCAAATAAAGTAACAGGGTTGATGACTTCATCTTAAATCCTCCATAAGTCCCCTTGTGACAGGGGGAATGGAAGCTTGTTGTGTGCATCAGGGAGTGGCAATTGAATGCAAGCTTCACAAAAAATTGTTAAAACATTTTTTGCCTGTCTATCTACAGGGTTGAGGTGTTATGCTCGACCCGCTCCGTTTTCCACCACAAAACACCAGAACACCAGAAAATGGCCAAAAAGAGTAGAACCAACTCATCTGCTTTTACACTATGATTTGACTATTAGATGTTCAATGTTTATTTTAAAAATAATATTTAAAAAATAAGTTTCAACATATTAATAAAAGAGTTCAGTTCATGACCTTAAAATGAAGGACAGATTTATAGAATTTTCCATAAGGTTTATATTAAAGGGCACTTCATTTAATATAACAGGCTTTTAAAATTCTATATTTGTGCTTTCTTCCTAAAATATCAAAGGGAATCAAAAGGCACTCAGTTCGTGGAACGACCCTACACACAACATGTACAGCCATGATAATAAACTACATGACCAAAAGTATGTGACACCTGCTCATCGAACATCTCATTCCAAAATCATGGGCATTAATATGGAGTTGGTCCCCCCCTTTGCTGCTATAACAGCCTCCACTCTTCTGGGAAGGCTTTCCACTAGATGTTGGAACATTGCTGCGGGGACTTGCTTCCATTTAGCCACAATAGCATTAGTGAGGTCGGGCAGTGATGTTGGGCGATTAGGCCTGGCTCGCAGTCAACGTTCCAATTCATCCCAAAGGTGTTCGATGGGGTTGAGGTCAGGGCTCTGTGCAGGCCAGTCAAGTTCTTCCACACCGATCTCGAGAAACCATTTTTGTATGGACCTCGCTTTGTGCACGGGGGCATTGTCATGCTGAAACAGGAAAGGGCCTTCCCCAAACTGCTGCCACAAAGTTGGAAGCACAGAATCGTCTAGAATGTCATTGTATGCTGTAGCATTAAGATTTCCCTTCACTGGAACTAAGGGGCCTAGCCCGAACCATGAAAAACAGCCCCAGACCATTATTCCTCCTCCACCAAATTCGGGCAGGTAGCGTTCTCCTGGCACCCGCCAAACCCAGATTCGTCCATAAGACTGCCAGATGGTGAAGTGTGATTCATCACTCCAGAGAACACATTTCCACTGCTCCAGAGTCCAATGGTGGCAAGCTTAACACCACTCCAGCCAATGCTTGGCATTGCGCATGGTGATCTTAGGCTTGTGTGCGGCTGCTCGGCCATGGAAACCCATTTCATGAAGCTCCTGACAAACAGTTATTGTGCTAACGTTGTTTCCAGAGGCAGTTTGGAACTCGGTAGTGAGTGTTGCAACCGAGGACAGACCATTTTTGCGCGCTATGTGCTTCAGCACTCAGCAGTCCCGTTCTGTGAGCTTGTGTGGCCTACCACTTCGCGGCTGAGCCGTTGTTGCTCCTAGACGTTTCCACTTCACAATAACAGCACTTACAGTTGACCGGGGCAGCTCTAGTAGGGCAGAAAGTTGACGAGCTGACTTGTTGGAAAGGTGGCATCCTGTGACGGTGCAACGTTGAAAGTCACTGAGCTCTTCAGTAAGGCCATTCGACTGCCTATATTTGTCTATGGAGATTGCATGGCGGTGTGCTCGATTTTATACACCTGTCAGCAACGGGTGTGGCTGAAATAACCAAATCCACTAATTTGAAGGGGTGTCCACATACTTTTGTATATATATTATACCTAATCAACAGAATCTAAACGAAATGTCAGCACTGAGCTGTAGGGAGAAGCCTAGATGAAAGAGAAAGCAGAATGTTACAAAAAGCTTCCGAAGATCTTTCAGGCCCCTTCTGAAAAACGAGTCTACACAATGTTCTTTCATCTAGCAACCCTTTCATTCCATATTTGGAACTTATCTTCATGATACAATATGATGTGACCATTTAGCACACACTTTTATTCAAAGTGACTTACAGACAACAAATACTGTACATACAGTATATTTATTGTATGAGATCCATTTGGGAATAAAAAATACACAGCTCTGGTCTTTCAAGCACACAGCACCATGGTCCAACAACCGAGCCACTGGATCTATTGTGAATTTCTCTTCTGAGAGATGGGTGTGCATACAATCTTTCATCTTTTATGCATCCGACTTCTCAGTGGGTGTTTTTGTGTATCAGGGGGTTGGGTAAAAATAACTAATTTGGACAATAAAGTATTATTTTTCATCTTTCACCCCTTTGACTATACATTAGCAATTCAACTTTCTTTTTTTAACCATTGGAATCACTGTGACTCTGTTACTCGTCCACTCTAGACACTGCTGTTCATAACATTCTCTCATCTCTTACCACTTTTAGGCCATAGCCCTGTGCTATTTGTTATTGCAATATAATGTATAATTGGTCTACAATTGCTCTAGTATACTCTCACCTCTTTCATTTCACACCAACTATCTATCTCTCTGTATTTTCAGAATGATCCCTTCGAGCAGTAAGAGTCTCCTGGTGAACAACCTGGCGGCCGGTACACAGTACGATCTGTGTGTGCTGGCCATCTACGATGACCTGGTGACCTCCCTGACTGCCACACGAGTGGTGGGGTGCGTCCGCTTCACCACCGAGCCACAGTACCTCCGCTGCCACTTCATGCAGTCCCAGTTCCTGGGAGGGACCATCGTGGTCATCATCGGAGGGATCATCGTGGCGTCCGTCTTAGCCTTCATCATCTTCCTCATCGTGAGGTACCGAGTGTGTAACCAAGGTGATGAGGATAAGGTAGGAGTATTGAGTATTACTTTTTTCTTTGGGGCTACTGTCTCTGGATTATTTATATTGACAGATGTGATGATGAATGTTGAGGTCATTTTCCCCTGGGGATTAATAAAATCTCTCTCTATCTCTTTCATAAGGCTTTGGAGATGGGTGAGATCCCATCTCTGAGCAGTGATGGTCAGCTCCAGGGCTGCGGCGTCCCCAAGGCCATGTCCAAGTCTCTGTCCAAGCAAATTCTCCAGCCAGAGAAACCAGAGAAGGAGGACAAGGAGTCTCTGAGGGTGGCCCTTCCTCCTCGTGAGCCGGTCAAGCAGCAGAAACCCCCAGCCCTGACCACCACCACATCTACCAAGACCTCCATCCCCGACTGCACTGTCTCTACTTCCGCAGCCAGTCACCCCTGGCACCCTGCCTCCCCCGTCACCCTGAGGCAAAAACGGACCGGTATCACTGCCACCGGCGGTCCGAAACCCGGAGAAGCCCGCCGAGCCGAAGGCCAGACAGATGTGCAGTTAGAGAACACAAATCGGAATAACTCGTCAGAAGCTAAAATGGCTGCCGCCTTGGCCGTAGCGGTTCCCAACCTTTCCACAAAATGGACGCCGGTCGCTAGGCGGCCGCGCCCCCCTGGAGCCTCCTCCCGCCATTACATGACGGTACCAGCAGGGGGTGTGAGGGTGAACCGGCGGCACTCTCTGAACGTGGACTCGTACAAGGAGCGCTGCTACGTCAGCCTGGTACAGCAGCAGCAGCCAAAACCTGGCGGGAGTTTACGCTCCAAACGCAGTCTGTCCATGAGCGGAGAATTGCCCCCGTTGGAGAGTGCAATGGCAAACATATGCAGAGGCAGAGACAAGCTATCCCGATCCGAGTGGCTTCTCGAAAGCACTCTATGATCTGGATTTTACTGGATTTTACTGGCTTATAGGTTCTTTGTTTTACTGGATTGGATTTGTGGCCGGTCGTGGAGCATACAGTAACTTTATGCCTTGTTCAGAGAGTTACTGTGGTATTTTATCTGCGAGACCCACAATTCCTCTTGTATTTCTGAAGACAAGGCAGCCAAACAGGGTTTTAAAGGGCAAATGTTTCACATTTGTTTTTCTACCTAAAAAGCAAATATCCTCTCAAAGTCATCTTTATAGCGACTTCGGATATAACTTTGATGAAAGGCACAAAAAAATGCTTAAAGCAACTTCATGTACAAAAATGTTAAGTTGTGTAACATATAGGCTAACACGATACACCCGTAAGTGTTCATATGGTATTGAATGCAGTAATCTTGGAAGTCTAGCATAATTTAGAGAGAGGGTGAGAAAGGGATGGATGATCATACTTGTTATAACATTGCCTGTTACTTAAAGTGATTACAATAACTGTGTAGACAATGAATGGACATATTTCTTGTCATCAGTTTTACAGACAGTTGGTGACATGTCTTAATTAACTTGGCGGCGTTTGGAGGAATTGTGAATGTGCAGAACACCCCAGGCGGAGGTGTAGAACAGAATGTACCCAGGCTGTGTCTGAAATTGCACCATATTCCCTGTAGTGCACTACTTTATGACCATGGCTCTGGTCCAAAGTGGTGCACTATATAGAAGAGGGTGCAATTTGGGCCGCAGCCATCAGTCTAGTGACAGAGCTGGATCTTTTCATCAAGCCGCACCAGACACACAGCACAATGCAGCATTCATGGCAACCCGTCTGTGTCGATTGAGCCTAATACTGCCCTCCGGTTTGCATCAATACATTTTTATCACGTAATTACACACAAAGACTCACGCTCATAGGATTCCTGTCACAACTGATATGACAGTCTAAACCAACACAGACAGGATGACAGGCGCAATTCCGATACGTCAGCAGGTGGATGGGGCTCGATAAAGGATTGGTGGTCCATTTTCATGTTTTTTACTATTATTAAGACATCATTTGTCATGTCAGGCCATGAACCATTGTAAATTGACTTGTTGGTAAAGAGAAAACGAAAGCTAAACGGTAGGCTGTATGAGAAGTCGGCTCTTGATTTTGCTGTTGTTTCTGTTTGATGTTTACCAGTATAAATAAACCAATGAGAAAAAGCAATCTAATGTAGTTTTAAACTGACAATACCTGTACAGTTATTGCTTGTGACATCCATTTGCCAGGTACCTACTGTAGCTTTCTTAAGTCCTATAACATGAAATGCAACACAGAGGACACGGCAGAAGTCATTTCCGTTTGAGCTCCATTTTCCAGGTACCATCTGACACTAGCCCTTCTGAAGTCTGACAACATAACATGCAGAGGGATACCTAGGACGTCATGTTTACAGTAGGCCACATGTTGGTAGATAGATTCCATCCCAAACTACCTTCAATCTCGAGTCATGACTGACAAAACAAATGATATCTCTTTCTCCAGCCAGGATAATCATCACATCTGTAATGATTTTTAAGGTTCAGCATAATCTTAAAGCATTTTAATCCCCCCTCCTTCTCTCTGAGAGTAGAAAGAATGGTAGACCTCATCTCCTATGTTTGTACAAAGGCAACAGGAAGCAGATGATGAAAAGAGGTCATGCTAGTCACCTGGGACTCCCCCTTTCCCTCCTCCCCCACTCTCCCTCCACCCTCCTCCCTGCCCACACATCTACACTCCTAGTCAGAGAGAGCCTCTACCCTGACACTCCTGCGATGCACTGAGGAAGATGCCAGGTAGGCACTGCAGAGAGAGAGACAGAGGGAGAGAGAGAGAGAGAGAGAGAGAGAGAGAGAGAGAGAGAGAGAAGAGAGCGAGAAGGAGAAGAGAGAGAGAGAGAGAGAGAGAGAGAGAGAGAGAGAGAGAGAGAGAGAAGGAATGTGGGAGAGAGGAGAGAAGGAAAATGGTAGAGGGAGAGAGAGAGAGGGATGATGGAGATAGAGAGAAGGTAGAATGAGAGAAAGAGGGATGGAGAACGAAGGGCGCAGAGGGAAGAGGATAAAAGGGGGAAAAGAGGGATGTAGAGAATATGCAAGCTCACCATATGAGATGAGTCTCTCTCTCCCTCTCTCTGAGCTGTCACACACACACATACACACACATGCATGCACACACACACACAGTATCAATATATTGATATCTCAATATCATATCATTTTTGGGTAACAATTAAGTACCTTAATGTGACTGTTTTCAATTCAAATGGTAAAAAATAAACAAAAATAGCTTCTTAGCGAAGATACATTTCTCAAGAAAGACTGTCTGGGAGTGGTCTGAGTGGGGAGGCGGAAACTGAAAACTAGCTGTTATTGGCAGAGAGGTTTGGAACTCTTTCTCATTGGTCTATTGATTAATTTTGGTGATGTCACCAGGCAGGCTAAAACTCCATCCCACCAAAACAGGCTGAAATATCAGGGAGTCTTTTCAAACAGCTCTTACACTAAAAGGGCATTATCATCATTTTCACAATTTCCCAGTATTATTCCAACCTCATGGAGTGGAAATATATATAAAACACAGGAATTTCACATTTTTGACTGCACTGGGTCTTTTATGCTAGCATGGACATGCACAAAGTGGGGGGGGGGGCGGGAAAGGGCTCAAAACTAAATCAGTGAAATTGAGGCCAGAAATATTTGTAGCGTGGGATAAAAGAGGTGGAACTGCCTAAGTGGTAAAGTGGTAGGTTAACATTATCTAACATTACCTCTGGCTTTCCTTGACAGGCTAAAAGCCCAAAATGGCGGTAAACCTTCAACTCCTTTCTCTAATATAATGAGACTAGTGTTGGCCATGGTTATTGTCCAGGACCAGGCCAATGCAGGATTAGCTGCATGTGGTTTAAGAGAGAGAACCCTCTGCAGAGGTGAAAGACTCCAGCCTCGGTCGGTCGGTAGGCATCATGGCACCATGGGCCTCGCAGTCACAGAAATGAATCTGCAATCACAATAATGTTTCAGATCATGGAGAGTGGGGTCCATTTCACTTCAATCGTCTGATCAGTATTTGTATTTGCTGTTAGACAGCATGTGCTCTGAATCCGCGGTTTTGATGTCGGATTGATTTTTTCATGTGGTCTGAGTGACTACATCACCAAATTAAAGCTGCACCTTGAGAAAAAGATACACCCCATTACCTTCGCTCTGAAACTCTCTGGTAAAATATAGTAGAGTATTAAACAGTAGGCTTGTTAAGATGTGCTGCACATATGTCAGACATGAATTAATTAATGTCATCCAAACAGCCCGGGCTGGAGCGACCTGGCCTTCTATTTATTATTTCTCTCTCATTATGCATGATTAAAATGTGTAGTGGAGGAGCCGGGCCCGGACATAATAGCTGTGTTTCTGGGGAGAGAGAGAATGAGAGAGAGAGAGAAGGAGAAGAGGGAAAAGAGAAAGAGAGAGGAGGAAAGGGAAAGAGAAACGGGTGAAGAGAGAGGAAGAGGTGAAGAAGAGGGATGGTTTGAGAAAGAGAGAGAAAGAGGGAGAGGGGGAGGTAAAGAAAGAGAGGGAGAGGCCAGAAAGAGAAAAACAGAGAAAGTGAGAAGGAGAGAAAAGAGCATCTGTGTATGTCAGCCATGCAGCCTACAGCTTCTCAGCATTCACCACACCTCTGCAGGAGTGAGGTGGGGGGTGAGAAGGGGTGAGGAGGGGGGTGGAAATCACAGGAGGCTGCTGAGGGGAACGGCTCATAATAATGGAAGAAACGGAGCAAATGGAATGGCATCAAACACCTGGAAACCTTGTGTTTAATGTATTTGATACCATTCCACCAATTCCGCTCCAGTCATTACCACAAGCCTGTTCTCCCCAATTAAGTTCCCATCAACGTCCTGTGGTGGAAATGGACCAATGCCGAGCGAAGTGTGCCCCGCGGCCAAATACAGTACCACACATTTCCCATCACACGCTGCGGGGTTCTGCCCGAATTCTAACCCCCCTTCTGCCCTGCTGCTTCCCCCTCCAACTCCTGCCATCCTTCCACCTCCTCCCTCCGGTCCTCCTCCCTTGTTAACCTCCACCTGCCCCTGCTCCCTCCTCCTGCCCCCTCTCCTCCCCTCCATCCTGCCCTGCTCCACTACAGGGCTCTTCTTCCTCACTGAACACCGCCCTGCCATCAAATCCTGACCTGCAATGCCCCTTTGACCCAACCGCTGTCCCGCTGAAAGATTCACCTGCCAATCATGTCACTGGGCCTGCCAGTCTGTCAGAGTCTGTCAAACAGCCAATCACCTCTCAGTAGGGGTCTGAACAGCCAATCATAGATCACTGGGCTTTAGCAAACTGTCAGAGCCAGAGGCAGGCTGGCCAATTACTTCTCAGTGGGGGAACTGATCCGCCAATCATTTCTCACACGTTCATCATACCTACATTTTACATTTTAGTCATTTAGCAGACGCTCTTATCCAGAGCGACTTACAGTTAGTGAATACATTTTTTTTTTTTATACTGGCCCCCTGTGGGAATCGAACCCACAACCCTGGCGTTGCAAACGCCATGTTCTATCAACTGAGCTACATCCCTGCCGGCCATTCCCTCCCCTACCCTGGACGACGCTGGGCCAATTGTGCGCCGCCCATGAGTCTCCCGGTCGCGGCCGGCTGCGACAGAGCCTGGATTCGAACCAGGATCTCTAGTGACACAGTTAGCACTGCGATGCAGTGCCTTAGACCACTGCGCCACTCAGGAGACAGGGGATACCTGTTACATTAACTACCTGCTGTTACAGGTGATGGCATTGGCGTGCTCTTTATCCCCGCTGTATATGCGTTTCTCAGAATTGGTTCACAACCGTTAATGTTCCGAAATAAATCTACCGGAACAATTATCTTTTGCTAATTGTAATTGGGGACAGGGAGAGTGGCTATCACACCAGGCCACTAATGGCACCAATATGTGTCCAATTGCATCGTTTAAAGCGATCTTTGAGTCTGTTTCAGTGTTAAGGGGCTATTACAATTACAGTGAGAGAGAAGCTGATAGAGATGTCCAACTGTTGATGACAGTGGTGCTAAAACAGTTGGTAACATCGTCATTACATTGATGGGTAAACACTTGGCACCCCTACATAGAGTAGGTTAAATCACCATTATCTCAGTGCAACAGGCACTAAAGCCTGCCAGACATATGTGAAACATTGAAGAAGAGGAAGAATGGTTTATTGTAGAGATTGTCTTTTAGCTTCTTAAAGCTGGAATCCTTAATGGTGAAACAGCACGTCCGTTTGAGAAATTACAACAACAACGAAGTTACTACAAACGAGGAACACAGTTTTTCCATTGCACGTGCGATAAAAGAGCACAATATGCAGGCTACTTTTTATACGTAAAAAATTCAATTGTTTATTTTTTCAGGGGAACACATTGAGACCAGGGTCTCAATTACAATGGTGCCCTGAGGACAACAATACAACAAATTCAAAATCATCAATAAAAATAAAATCAACTACAAATTACAGAATCAACACTACAGCTTCAACCACCACAAATTCAATCCAAACAGTTGCAATTCTCATTGAATTCATTTAACATTAAAGTCCTAAACTGCCCTAGAGGCACCAGCGAGTCAAGATGTAGGGA